TTTCTAACTATTTTTTTTTAAAAAAAGTATATAAATTATAAATTTTCTTAAAAAAAAAAGCTTACTGCTAAAATATATTGTTTAAAGTTTTAAAAAAAGTTTGAGTAGCTTCTATTTATGATAATTTTATATTTTTAAAAAAAATCTTTAGAGATGTGGCAACTTAGTATAGTGGTCTAGTCGTCACCCTTTTTAAGTGGCATGTGTAGAGTTCAAATCCCACTAGCGATGATATTTGAAAAATAGGCTTGTATTCGGTTGATGGCTATGCTTATCAGTTGGATCTAGAACTAAATTTGTAACTTTGGTCACACTATCTAGTAATGGGAGCTTTGGTACAATAAACCCAAGGAACTGGCATAACTGAAAACCTATTTGGGAAGACCCGGATCTGGAGGTAGCAGTAATCTTTGACAGTATTACAGGAGGGCTAAATTTGAGCTGGGGCCTAATATCAGAGAACTGAGCAACCAGGTCCTATGGCAGAGGACACACTAGCCGAACTGCCGGGTTGTCGCACCAGAAGAAAAGGACATGCTCCGAAAGTATGGACCAAGGGGAGGGTGTCCTTCTGGTACCTAAAGCCTGGGCAGACCAACCCTTTCAGATTGCTAGCTGGAAGTAAAGAAGGGACCGATAAAGAATCCGAGTAGAAGACAGTTTGAATGTGGGTACCAGAGTTGTTGTGAACTGGATAAGGGCAAAAGTGATCAATGAGATCATGTGTCAAAGAACTGCAAATTCATTAGAGTTCTACACCGCAGGAGTAGGGATCTGGGACATCATTGATGAACTTGAAGTATAACAACAAATTGCAAGTAGAAGCTTTGGTAACTACAGAAAGGTTGTTGTGTGTGGGACACAAACAACCTAGCCTGGTAGGTCACTTACCTTGCCAGCTGGTATTAGGTTGGAGGTAAATTGTGATACTAGAGATACTTCGAATTATGCATAAAGTAGTTCCCAAATATAGATAGTTGACCATAGCCTTAGTCTTGACGTACATAAAAGTTAGTTGTATCACATGTCTGTAATAGATGTAATATATACAGTTAACATAATAAAAAGTACCTAGAGAAGCAATCTCACCTTGAAAAAAAAATAAAAAAAACTTTAAATAAAGATATTTCAGCAACTACCTAATCAAATTTAATGAGTTTTTTTTATTTGATTCTACTGACACTTATATAAAATTGCATACAATTGATCATAAATATATTTTTGTTAAATAATAATTTTTGTATTGCTGATTTTTAAATTTGCTTTTTAAAATTATTGTAGTATAAAAATAAATAATTTTAATATTTAGTTATTAGATAAAAGAAGTTACAATGAATAAAAAAATAAAATAAAAAAATAATAAAAGATTTGATAATACATCATAATTTATATTATGATTTATTACAATATCAACTTTAAAATCAAAAAAAGATGTGACAACATAGTAAAGTAGTGAAGTTGTTGCACTTTAACCTAGCTTGTAATTAAGATACTAAGTTCAAATTCCACTAACAATAATTTGGGACAAAACTTTTGTATTATAGTAACAGATTTTTATTGATAAGTTAGGTTCTAGAGTTTATAACTTCAGTTACACTAATACACTCTGTGCATTAAAAGATTCTAGAAGCATCTATATAACAGTTGGGTTATATAAAGAAATGCAAGCTGGTATAGATGATACAAACCCATAATAAGACTTCTAAAAATATATTAAAACTAAAAGAGAATATGAAAAGCTGAAACTAGCCTGGCATAATCTAAACAAGAATTAGTATAGACTTTTAATAATACTACATGAAGCAAAATCTAGAAGAAAGCTTTAAGATTAGTAAATTGAGTGATACAAAACTTTTAGTAAAGAGAGTATTATCAAATCATAGAGCTAAAATAGAATTGTTAAAAAGAAAAGAATATATACTTCAAAATTATATATTAAGAAAAAACAGACTAAAAACATCTAAAGCTAAAACAAGGTCAACTCTCCTAGAAGTATAGTTGGTAGCAAAAAAGGATTAATGGAGGGTCTGTAATAAGAATTGAAGCTGATTTGTAGATACTAAAATAAATATAAACCTTGCAAGGGTAGAGATATATATGGCTTAGATAACTGGGCTTACTAGTATATAGATTAAGCTGTAATACAATATTTCTAAAAGTTTAATTTAGAAATATGTGAAACATGAAAAAGATTAGAAAGGCTTTGCTATGCCTGTCTGTTAGACATAGCACTAACATAGCAGGTAACTATGCTTAAGGCTTGTCTAAATAGAAAAGTAGTAGGCAATTGCTAGCTTGGGTAGTCCAGGCTCTAAGCTCTGCAGTACAAAATTAGTATGGTTAAACTTGAAGAAGATTTGCAAAATTATATATATATAAATTTATAATACAAATATAATATACCAACTTTTAATAATATATAGTTTATTATATATTGACAATTTTATAGTAAAAAAAAAATAAAAATAAAAATAATTTAAGTTGTTATTAAATTTATTGATTATATAGTATCAATTTAAATTGCTTTTAAATTTTATATTACTTGGATTATATTTGTTTAATCTAAATTTATATCAATTTTATTTTAATATATGATAATAGTACTAATTAATAAAATTTGTAAAACTATTAAATTATTAAAAATTACTATATTTGATACTCTGTTTGATATTGAGTAGTTGAATCAAAATTTTTATTATCGCAAAAATTTTCATTTTTTGTAATTTTTTGGTTTTTTTTTATCATTTAGAGCTTTATTGCTTCTTTTTTTTTGGTTTCTTTTTCTTGCAATTCTTATTGTTTTTACTAAGCTATAGTATCTACTGCAATTATAAACATATTTGTTTTTTGTATTGTATTTAACTATTTTTTTTATATCTTGTTTGTAGATATTATAAAGTCTTTTTTTCCTAATATTATAATAGACAAAAAGCTTATAAAATTTTTTATTGTTATTTTGAGATGTAATTTGAAATAATAAATAACTTGCTAGATCAAATATATTAAATACTTCTAATAAATTAACTGTTAAATTCCAAGTTAATTCTTTTCATGATTTTAAATTACATTTTGTATATATAATTGATAGATTATTATTTAACATTAAATTTATATATTCTCTTTCAAATTATACTGCTATTATTTTAAAAAAAATCTTTTTTAGTTTCTAAATAATTTCTGATACTTTGCTTTATATATTTATACTAAGAGACTCAACAGTTTAATTGATTGCTAAAAAATAACTCAGACTAGTTATATTTATTGAAGCACATATTTTAATAAAACTTATAATATTGCTAAATAATAATCAAGAGATTCAGAATAATTGTATTTACTTGCCATTGCAAAAAGAGAAGTAAAAGCAGCCAAGCTATAGTATTGCATAGTGATTTTTATATTAAATACTGATCTTGTAACAAACTCAATATCCTGCTTATACAAAAAACTGATACAAACTCTTAAAATATTATAATTTTCAAATTCAATACTTTCAATACTTTTATTATAGTTTTTTATATAAGTTGTAATTGCACTAATTACTGTAACCTAAATTAATTTAATATCTCTATATATAGCTATATAATCTAGAAAAAAATTTCCAAACTAGCTGCTAATCTATATATATATATATATATATATATATATTTTTAAATATTGACGGGTCTCGTTGTGACTAATTTTATTTATTAATATTTATAAAAACTATAAATACATAAATTTCAAAAAAGAAGTCCGACATTACACGGTTCTATATCGCGGTGCAAAACCTAACTCAGGCCTATGAGCGACTCCGTCCTACTAAATCACGGATGACTGGAATCATCCAAAAAAAAAAATTCTATAAAAAATGAAAACGAACTATAACTAAAAAGGGAAAATGAGCAAAAGAAGGAAAAGGGAAAAGAGCGAAATAAAAAATAAAAAAAACCTAAAAAAAGAAAAAACAGAAAAAAAATAAAAAAAAATTTTATAGAACCAGGATAAAGTGTAAAGAGGGATTTCACCTCTCTATTTAATAAGAATGCACTATTATAACCTGTGCAAGGCTAAAAAATTATATAACAAATACAACAATTATATATCTCTACTGTAAAGCTTTGCCTTAGCATAAAAAGTTCTTCCGACTTATGACCGTTTTCGGATATCTTTTTAACTGGAGGTCCCGATCCAACTTCCTCAGAGTAGCACCGTAATTATAAACAGACACGTCACGTGGTTGTATTCTACTGAGTCCGTCCGAATTTGAAAAGTAAACAATGCCGATCTTTTGGAGGGGGTAAGCCAAATCCCCACTTTTTGTAAAAAATTTTGGAAGACCAACGGGAGGGCGAGTAAAGGTAAAAAAGTTTCACTTAACCAAGTAAAGGAGTGAGGCTTCAAAAAAAATGCAAGTTTTGTTGTTTTCTCTGTTTTCTTCTTCGAAGTAACAGCTAGATAGCTTCGTCGATGGAGATGGGGCCAACCCCAAACACCACCAAGATTTTTCATACAAGGCACCACCTGCCAGTTATCTTGTATAATAACACTCTTGGCTTGTATACCAAATGTCTCTTTAGAGGAGTCCCGAAAGGCAAATAACGTTGACCTCTAGACAAACTACTTCATAGCTACGTCTCTCCAACAAAAATTTTGTTTTTTTTATTTAGTCGGATTTTTGGTTTAAATGATCGTCACTAATCTATATATACTATATCTAGAAAAAATTGTTAATAAAGTACTTAGCATGTATTTGTTTGTATACTATTCACCAAGTAATACTTAAATTTCTAGTCTATTTTTATATAATGGGGCTAATCTATAAAATTTTGTCTAGTATAAAGATATTTCTAAAAAATTATTTTCTCTAATACCAACATTATTAAAATACATAATTATTGCTTTATAAATATTTAAATTATTATATAAATTGTTTTTAGGTTTTAAAATTGCAATATTTGGCTTCAGTATATTAGAGTATTTTTTTGCAACTCTAATTTAATATCAAAGGCATCATAATTTAGCTATTTATTTTCAACAAATAAATTAAAAATATTATGCAATTTTTTATTTATTGCTAATAAATGTTGACTGTCCAACTTGAAAATAGAAAGTTCTGAATTATAAGAATCTATAAGACTTGATATATTTTGTAAAAGATAATATTGAGCTACTATTTAAAGTATAGCATAAGCTGTTTTTTATAGTACGTATATTAAAAATATTGTTATAGTACTTTCATTTTTTATAATAATTCTTTATCAGATATTATATCAAGATCTTGTGCCAACCAATTTATATCTATTTCATTGTCTTGTTGTTAATTATGAATTAGCATATGCTTTAGCTAACCTGATTGCTAATATGGGATCTTTGCTAACAAAATGAGGTTCCGAGGCTATGTTGATTTTGTGAATAAAAATTAAATTTGCTGGCTATCTAGTTGTTCAATTTGAATGAAATTTTTTTTAATTTGTAGATTCTATTAAGATTTACAAAATAAAAAAAATTCATTCAAATTGGATTGCTAGATGGTTAGCAAATTTAATTTTTATTCACAAAATCAACATAGCCTCAGAACCTCATTTTTTGTTAGCAAAGATCCAATATATTAAATTGTTTATTATATAAACTATTGTATAGATTTATATCACTTTTTGTATTGCTTGTACTATATTTAGATAATAGTGAAAGTGTTGGTTGTTCAAGACTTTCAGAATTATCCTTAATGCTAACATAGTCAAGAATCTCAAAGTTCTTATCTGAATCATTACAAAAAGTCTCCATAATAATTAATACTAGTTTGATCATTTATTATAACATAGTATTTAGTTAGCTAATATTAATTTTATGTCTTAGGTAATTTTTTCTTTTGTGCTTGCTATTTTAATTAAACTAGATACTTTTGCTATACTTTGATTATTTTTATAAAAAAAAAAGTTAGTAATGAATTTAAAAAAATTACTTGTGTAACATTTTTAGTTGTCTTGTTTCAATTCAAGATTCTTTAAAACCTAGTTACTCTATAAATTGCAACTTCACCATTTAAAATAATAAAGACTAAAACTAATATTTTTGTTAAATGCAGTGATAAACTATATTTCTTAAAAAAGTTATTATGACTTAAAAGAAAAATTTTGTCAAGCAATATAAGAAATTTGTCGAACATTCAATAAAAATTTGATATAAGTGTACAGTTGCCACCCTGCAGCGTGACATATCCCCTGATCAATATGGGCGGATTTGATGCATATGATGATCATTTGAAATGTGACAAAATCATATTATTACCAGCATTATAAAAAAAAAAAGATAGTTTTGGCCCATAGTTAGCATAAGTCAGCCCAATTTCCTTTTTTAGATCAGATTGCAACCGGATTGCACTTACGCACAAAATAAGAACTTAATTGGGTTAAATTCAACAAAATCACAAAATTGATGTGCAATTCGAAAACATCACACCAATCCGCTGAAACCATCGTAAGGGAGAGCTTGGTATTGTCATGCCGAGTTTAACCCCGATGGTTGACGTTAGAAGGGTCACATGAATTGGGCGATAAATTATGGTATTCAGATATTCATGATTTATTAGGCATTTATTATAAAAGAGAATATGAATATATAACCTTTATTTATTGAAAAAGCGAATTTATCCTCAACTAAGGATGAAGACATACTCTTATATATACATTCTAATTTTACAGATGTCAACATCAGGATCTCACGCTTACGCTGTAGATTCCATATTTGCCCAAGGCGCAATGATCACAAGTTTATGCAAGCGCGTATGAGCGTAAACTACCAAGAATACATAATAATGCCTAAACTGCTAGGGTAAGATTAACATGACTTTGATGGTACAAATATGGAAGGTGAGTGACGACTTAAAGAATTAGACAAATACGGAAGTGATGAGACACAGGAAAAATTAAACAACGCAAGGGCACAGGATCGATTTTCCGTTCATGTGATTTTCCGATGTCAGCTAGCCAATTAAGAACTGATATCAGGTGTAACGTAAAGAAAATCAAAACAAACGTTCGCTTTGCAAAATTTACGTTTATCACGAAATATAGACTAATAAATCGCCTTTTCGGCCCTAACAAAAAGAAATTTTACTATGTTATAGGTCTCAAACCCTAACTTAAATAAATTTTTATATGACGTCTGGAAATCACGTGACCGGAAAATCGATCCTATGCCCTGTCAATTTCGGAAAATTAATCCATATGGTTTTGGCTCCGGAATCAGATCGGAAAGGATCTACAGTGATCTTCAGCCCGGGATTTTCTTGGCATAAAGAAACCTGTTTTTCAGATGTTTTTTTACGCCTAGTAAAGTTTCGAATCGCCAAGATCAGCCTAGTTTCATATAAAGGCTTGCATTTGTTCTTTAACCTGTTCAAGGCTAAACCTCTTGTGATTAAGACCGGCAAATTGTTTAACATACCAATACCAATATATTTAGAGAATGACTATAGACTGATTTAGAAACCTAAAATACAAGAAACATGGTGATTAAAATAATCCGGGAGGCAAAAAATCCGACAAAGAAAATTAGGGACACTTTAAGAACAAGGAACCCAGTGATCATCACATCATGCGAAATCATGCAATTACGTCATTTGTTTACTAGCACTAAACAAATTAGCCTAAACTAACCTATCACCTAACCCTAACACTAACCCTAACTTATGCCGAACACTTAATCATGTGATGTGATTATCATAAAGATATCGCTGGGTTCCTTGATCTTCAGTCTTCCCTCGATTAATCAAACATCAATTGCGAATTTGACAAATCAAAAACATTTCCCGATTTTATGAGCATTGCTTTAACTATTGTGTATACATAGTTAAAAGCAGGTGGTTCAAAAATCATATACCAGAAATTCTTTGGAATCAGGTTCTTATTCTATAAATAGAATTTTATATCTCAAGCATGTTAAACGTTAGACAATTTTATGCGACATACAAATACAGGATCAATACAGAAGCAATTGATACATTCTATGTGAAGATGCAACAAAATTGTCACGGCAGATTCTTGATATTTATTGACTATGAGCGATAATCAAAAAAATAGGCCGGAATTTTACTAATGATGAAAAATTGCAACCGCCTATTAAGTGAAAATTGTTCCTGGGCCAATTTTACTCTAACGCGGGCTTATTTCTATTTTTGTGAAAAAATCAAAAAGTTAATTCGGCCGGAAATTAGTAACCAATTTTGTAACTCGGGCCAATATTTTGCAGATCGCTTCCGTTAGTCAATTGTTGCTATGTTTAAAATGATACGTCGTACGTACTTACGTACGTACGTACGCAAATAAGTATTTAGTTATAAACTCTAACTGGCCACTTAAAGTAACCACTAGATATAGTTTATAAAAGTTTCCTTTCTTGGAACTGCGAGGAAATTTTTTCGTCGATCGACGCACTGCCCCAACACAAACCATAGAACACAAGACTCATATAGTAAGCATCAACATTATATATCCATTTATAGAAATAAATACTTTAGAATAGCAGTCGGAAGTAAAACAATAAAAGGTTAGCCCTATCAACATTAATGCGATGAAAAAACGGTTGAAATAAACCCCTAAAATGTATTGAAAGCACAAGAAAAAAAAGAGACTTCGTGTTTTCAATGTTTATCATTTATTTATTTATCGGGATTTAGATTATGAATAAATAATCTTCACGGAAAATATTTACCCGATTTCCATTGAATGAAATTTAATCGCATAAATTTACGTATAATTTATCCTGCCATACATATTGTCAAATATTGTTTAAGATTTTGTGGACATAAACCATTTAATTTGCCATAAACAAATACACGTCGTGTTATCTACGTACATGCATAAAACTCCGTCATTGGCACATATTACCAAATAGAAAACACCGAGATCCTGTAACGTTACCATACGCGTAAATAAATAAACATTATTATGCTTCTTATTAAGTTAATGCTTATTTTAAAAGTGGGCATTGATGATATGAATCATACAGCCTTATAATCGTTATATCTATTGAAAATATACTAATTCTTAGAATGTATGAAATGTTTAAAAAAATAATAATAATAAAGTATTTTTTGGTCATGCAAATTTAAAGTAGCAAATTTTCTCTGCAATAGAAACTAATGGCATAAAAAATGAAAATTATTTATTAATATTTGATTAAATATTAACTCAAAACAAGTTGTAGAACGATTAAAATTTTGAATTAAATACTTACTCAAAACATGTTGTAGAACAATTTAATATTTGAATTAAATATTAACTCAAAACATGTTGTAGAACGATTCTTGGATATACTGTGCACTTATTGCTGTGGGGTTGTGAAGTGCGTACAAAGAGCTGACGTGGAGTAAGTAACTATGTTTGCACTTTTTTATATTCCTCGCATATTAAAGAGGTTAAAATTAAGGTTTATAATTAAATATAGAATAATCAGTCAGAGAATCTTTGATCTTGAAAATATTTTGTCAGAAGAATTGTTGTAAAGAACTATAATAAAATCATTTTTATTATTAAAAACTATTATGGTTTCACTTGTACGATCATTGATACATCCAAGAATACATAGCAGTGCCACCATTGTAGGAAACAAGCAATATATATATGCATGATTTTTAAAACTCATTATATTGGCATAAAACAAACAATAATTCATAAATACGTATTTTCAAAAAGCTAGATTTATTTAATGCATACATGAAGATCTATCGATTACGATATTATACATTTAGTCTTTATCTACTGTATGTCTCTTTTCAATCGATCGGAATTTATATCTTCGCAAACCGCTAAAGTAAAATATAGAAAACACTAAGATCACCATGAATTCAAGCCGTCAAACTTATAAATTGGTCGATCTGATCATTGCATATACATGCATTAATTTATCGTGATCCGATATAAGGAATGCACTAAAAAAACCAGCTTTTGGCGCTTTTTGGTCAATTTTAAGATTTTGATGCTAATTAAAATTTTTTATTCGCTGACAAATTAATAGTTCCTCGAAGCTATAATTCTAAAAATAGAATAATAACCAATAAGAAGATTGTCAATTAAACTTGGCGAACTCAAATATGTGATCTTTTTGTATAAAAAAAATAATTTATAATACATATATGTATACCTAGAAATAAATAAATAATTTATATTGTGTAACACAATCATTGGTCGCATTTTTAAAAAACTCAAACCGTCAAAGGCTGGTTTTCCTAGATATATTTTCCTAGATGTATTATCCTAGATGTATTTTCCTAGATGTAATAATTTAAAACTAGAAAAACAAAAGATAATTCAACAATTACTTTAGATATATCAATCTTTTTTTTTTCCTTCATTTTAATAATTTCCCCGAGCGAAAGAATCGATAGACTGTCACACAACATCACATGACTATCTACAATCTTGGAGCTGCGTCATGACGGCTGTCGGTTAGATACTTCCGGTTAAATATTCGCTACTCGATACTTCAAATGGATACGCATTACTTCGTTGGCAATTACTTAAATATCTTAGTTCATAGACAATTAATTCACAAAACCTGCTTGTAAAATGATTTACATATGAAATAATTTTTTGCAAAATAAGTAAGATTGTCTGTTAAGCCAAGAGGCTATAGTAAAGCATCCGGTGTACATGTTATTTGAAAAATCTGCCGATGATTATCATCGACCAATTTAGAAAATT